TGGCGGAACGTCTTTTTTTTTTTTTTTTTTAATGTCTCTCATCCTACTCTTTATTCTTCGTCCGGCTTAATGACCGAACGAATAATCTTCTGTTTAAAATGGCTGCGGGCGCAAGCGGCATGAGTATTCCGATTCGCGAAACTATCACACTATATATACGTGCGTTACTCTAAAAAAGAGACTTTTGTGCAATTATAAAACGTTTAAATCCCTATTGCGTGGCTTGTGAATTATATGGACCAGACTATATATATAATAAAATATATATATGTGTAGAACTTTCTTCTTATCTCCCTTGTGTACTCTTAATGCCGATTTCAACTCTACGTAAATAATTTTTCTAGCAAAAACATATTTAAACGCAGTCATAAGATATACGATCAAGACTAAAAAAAATACATTCTCATTTTAAAAACACGAATGACAATTTTAATATTGAGGACAATTTACATGTATCAATTTGAAATTTTTCTTTATTTTATTTTATTAATTAACGTCTAACGGCTTTTCAATGGTAGTAATAAATGACATAGTTGCATACATTGTTTACATGTTATAATTATAAGTCAATAACATAAAAGGCTAGTTTTATAAAAAGAAAAATAAGGAAAATTGTATTAAGGTTAAAGATCAAAATTATTATTATTTAAAGAGCTCTTGGCTCTGATCAAGGAGACATTCATTAGAAAATTAGATTTTAAAGCGGAAAAGAGGAATGGCTCTTGAAATTTAGTATGAACATTTAGTACAAGTAGATTTATGTGTTCAAAGAGATGAGATGAGTGAACCTTCCCATGGAATAGGTTGAACACAAAAAGTTGGTCGATCTTTTTCCGTTTATTCTCAAGTGAACTGAGTTTTAAAATTCTGATAACTTGTGAGCAATTATGCCTAGGGTGGTCAACTTTTAGTAAAAGTCCGATGAGACCTAGAAAGCGAGATTGAACACGTCGGAAAAGTTTTTTCTCCACTTGAAGAAATGGATTCCAAACTACAGATTCATAATCCAAAATCGATTTAACAAGGGTACAGTATACTGTGACTAAACAAGGTGCAGAATTGAATTGAGTTGTATGACGTCGGATAAATCCTAAAGTCCTTAATGCCTTACATGAGATATAATCAATATGGGATATAAAAGATAAATAAGGTGTGTATATGTCTTTATAATATATGTACTCTGTCATATAGCGGTCCACTTCGTTTTATCACATAATAATATAATGTGATATGATACATCTGATACAACTTGCCCTATGCAATATGTAATTACGGCATAACACGATGACGGATGACCGATGAACGTGCGACACACGTTCGTCAACCTATTCCGTTGAAGTTCTCAAACGTGGTTTTGCTTCCCATGCTGACCTCTCATTTCCCATCAGATTTTAATTAGTCAGTCGTTTTCTTAATCACGTTTTACATTGTAACTGTTGTATAACTTGATAATATACGGTTTATTGTCATACATAGTATGCTGATGTTGTGAACAAGGTTTTTTGGAATGCAATTGCAAAGCCTCAATGCACCTAAATGAAAAAAAAGTGTAATTTCAATAGCTCCGGACTATTATACAATTATAAATGCTACTTCAGCTTGTCGTGCTGTAACAAGTGACATCAAAGTATATAACAATATTTATAATTGATTGTATTTGACTACGTTTATATTTCAATATAAAAAATAATACTGAATACTGGTATTTTAAATTTATCATCATGTCAATATTCACCAAATAGTGACAATGGATATGGCTATCTATACGAAGTACTAATCTACAGTATAGGTCCTACATTAACATTTTTGATAGAAATGACATTCAACAATTGTGGACATTTATTTCAACAATAATAATAACATGGAATCCGAGCTTTTAAAATATTTAGTAAAAGATCGATTACTCGACTTCAGTTTAATTTCTGTTTCTTTCTAACATAATATAACAAGTAAATACTATAGGAAATAAAATATATAATATTATAATAATATGCACCCCGTTACATTTTGGGTTTTAGTGGCGGTTTCAACGGGGAAACGAGAAAACATGCAATTGACTCGACATATACGTAATTGGGGGGGGGGGTACATAATAAATTATTCCAATAATTTCGTATTTATGGTTCACCTTGGCCATGTCAAACATTTTAACATTAGGAACCTTTTTTATGTACTCGATGTATTCAAAATTGTTTTACAATATTTGGTTATCGGTCAAAAATTATGTTCAAAATTAGGTTACGCTAATAATTACAGGAAATTGTTAGGAATGTCGGTGCCACGCGCTTCATTCGAATAAATTTTATTTGTGTTGACGATGCAACCTCCATCGTTAAGTGAGATTTACGTGTTACACAATTCAGGTGCTTACAACCTGAAATGTATTGCCGTTATTATCCTGTAGATTTCGAAACAAATGCGAATGCTTAATTAAATTTTGTGCGGTCTGCTTGTATATTTTATTATTTTACCAAACACCCGTATCTTATAATGTCACACGGTGGTATTTTTATTTTTCACTTCCCCTTTATGTATTCCTTCAAAAATTCGCCTACTTATTTACGTAATGTATGATCGTCTGTTTTCGAAAGTGGTATTTTGAAAGTAATTTTGAATCGAAGTAATTTCAACTGCAGTTGTTTACAACAGCATTTCAAATAGTTATTTAATTAGTTTAACGGCATTGCAACAACAAGATTACAGACTTACCTACTCCGTGTTACCAAAAATATTAATACTCACACCACGTATTTGGTCTACAATTAAAAACGTCAAATTTATTATTGTGATTTAAATATTTACAATGGTAGATTAAAAGTCACGTGTCACATGCTATTTCGCAACAATTTTCAATGTTAAGTTTATACAAAACACAGAGATGAAAAAATAATGTATTGATATGTGCAATATCTTGACGTATTTTATATTAAAACATCGATGACGTATAGGTCGTTTTGGGACCTATGGTTACACATAGTGTACTAATATGAGTAGGCATATAATATATATATATATATATATATATATATATATACGTAGTTTCCAACCAGATGTGTGTAATATTATCGCATATATCATGTGTATACATTTACACATAGATCGGTGTGCTTTGAGATGGAACAAATGCCATTCAACCTGTTAAAAAGTACAACGAACTTAGAGGACAAAGTACTCCAATTGCCGATTTCGTCAAGGAAATAAAAACATACTCAACGATGAAGCGTATTATGTTTAGAACTTTTTTTTTGTCATTTGATACGATAATTACATATTAATTACACTTTTTACATGTTCAGTTGACGATTATCAGAACAATGTGTTCGTATTTCAATGATATACATACATTATACATGGTATAATACTCGTTTTATTGTGAATTTTTTTGATTTTCTTACACTGTCAATGTGTATATAATAATATACGATGTATGTATATAATATATATTGTATACATAACTGCATCAACTTTAATTGTCGTTTTTATGATGTGATTATTATTTTTTAAAGGATGTTGTCTGATTAATACTCGTAATATTATTCTAACTCGTTGAAATCATTTTTAATGTATTGTTTAAATTTTAAATGTCATTAATAATTTTTAGGATAACAAATTATTTGAATTGATTATTATATTTAATGTTTCACATTTCTTTAACATTAAAAATTATTCTGATTCATATTATAAATATGATTAATGTCATGGTGATACTTTTGCTTTAATTCTGTAAACCATGTATCTTAATGTATATTGTAATATAGTATATATAACCGATGTAGTTGTTAAAATTGTTATTGTTTTTCAACATTTCGTGAAAAATTATATAACTTTAAGTTTATGTTTAATTATTTTTTTACAATTGTAATTTATCAAAACTCAAACAGTTTATTAGTTTTTCAATATAAATTAATTGTATTTAAATATATTCTTATATAAAATACTTTTTCATATTTCGTTTTAAAATTATTATTAAAAAAAAAAATATATATATATATATTATTTAAGATTTTTAGTGAAGTAAAAAATATATTGGTTTACACGTTTCATGTTTTTGATAGTTCTTATGAAAAAAAAAAAAAAAAAAAAAATAAACAAAAAAACAAAAATAAAAATAATTAATTTGTTTTTATCATATATATATAATACGAAATAAATGTAAGATATCAATTTTTCCTAAGCACGAAGTTATTATATTACTCATTAATTTCGTTATCACTTATTTACTACATACTACTGTATTTTAAATTTAATACAAAATAACAACGAAATTATTGTAATATTCAGTTTCCTGCATAAAAGTGCGAAGGAAAATTAATTTCATTTCACGATCAAACATTTCGTAATGAAATAATTATAATAGTTTTTTGTTTTTGTTACATAAAATAGAATAATGGAAAATTGGAGATTTTAAATCAGTAACGGTGAATTATATTTATGAAGATAATTTATTTATACACTTAACAGTAAATTATGATAAAGTTATTTGTATACACAATTTATATGATGTACATTTATTTATAATATTTTTGTTAAGGTAGTTTTATCATTAACTGAAATTGAATTAATTTTAATGTTAATTAAAAAATTTCTATATTTATAGTATCCTCACAAATAATTAAAACTTATTTCTTACAGTTTACCATAAAATTTGACAATAAAAATAGGTATCTTACGCTTTGTTAAACGTATAATGTATGATCAGGTTTTGACAGGTCACGAAAGGATTGAATTCATTATTTTACAGTAAAATTTAACATCCAAAAATCCTTTAGAGGTTAGGACAAAGTTATTTACTTATTTATTTTTATTTTTTGGCTGGATAGTGGTTTTAAAAATTGTGACAGTTTAAGATTAGCCTAAAGGTTGATTTTCCGGTTGCAACTTATCAAGTGACTATTTTTTTATTTTTGCTCTGAGGCCCAAACGTAATTGAGTTTCATATTATTTAATACTACAAATAAAACACATTTATCACGTTTAAACTTTTTACTTTGTTGTTCTAGCTTCTGATCTGGAATCGATTCGTGCCTTGTTTAATGAAAAAGAAAAAGAACTTACAATGGCTGTGGCTAAAGTGGACGAATTAACTAGACAACTTGAAGACGTCCATAAAGGACGAGGTCATGCACAGCCTACGTCTCCGGCTTCCATAGAACTTGACAAACTACGAGCTGAGTTATTAGTGAGTCTTAATTATTATTCATCAATTGTAGTTATAGTTTAATAAAGTTAAATTAAAATATTTGCAAATAGATACTATTTTTTTTTTTTTTTTTTAATTAAATATGTTATATAACACTAATATACATTTAATGTTGTTTTTTTTTTAATTTTGAAGTATCGAAACAAATTAGGAGAACAGCAAACTGCTAGGCTAGTACAACAACGTGAAGTTCTTTCCAAAAGACAAGAGGAAATGGCATCTATTGATCGGCGAATATCCGAACTACAAGCTAGGTTACACAGGAAGAGGTTGCTCAACCAACAGCTTGCCAATCAAATCCAGGCAAATAAACCAGGCCATAATAATAGGTAAGTAACCATTTTTTAGCAGAATAATATTTTACAAAGCGATTTTTATGAGATTTTGCCACATTAGTTTTTATTTAAATTCTAGTTTCTTTAAATAAACGTATTAGCTTTTTGCGATTCAAGCCGTTATGCTGTTAGATTGTGTTTATATGTAATCTGTCAAACATGCAAAAGTGCATAGTCTCGAATATTGTGATCACAATATAATTATCTATCTTATTTTCCCTATATACTGATGTGGTTATTTTTCAATTTTAAAATATTTATCATATATTTGTATGTATAAAATCTGTCTAACAACAAATATACTAAAATGTATATTTTTTTTTTTATTAAAGATCTCTGGGCGGTCTGGGTAAACAAATGATGCCGTTGTGCGATGGTAAAATGAATGGTGGTGGTGGCAATGTTGCAGCCATTGAGCCGTTTAATCATATACCGGACGCGATGAGCAAAAATTCAATGTTACGCAAGTCCGAAGATAACATTCTTAGTCATGCCACGGTCAACGGCGACCCACAGTCATATGGTGGACGGTCCAGTAGGCCTGAGCAAAAATCAATGTCTCAGCAGCCTCTGGTCCAGAAACCGATGATGGACCCATACCAACAACAATACCCACCGTCAAATAACAATTACAAAATTGAACAACAGACAAACGGTAACCCAGGTGATCTCGCATATTTTGGGGGTAGCAAGTTTGACCCTAAATACCAGACATTACCCTACAATACCAAATTTTCACCATTGGCCAACTTCAGTGGAAATCAATCGGCGATCCAACAGCATCAACATCAGCAACAACAGCAACAACATCATCATCATCACCAACAACAACATAACCAACAGCAACAGAACCAGCAGCAGCAACAACAACAGAACCAGCATCAACAGTGGTTTGGTCAACACGAAGATATGGCTGACGACATTAATAGAGACCTAGTCAATAATAACACCAACTGCTATGGAGCCGATCAAAAAATTAACGGAACGGCTCAAAATAAAAAGTCAGTTTTGGCCGGCCAAGTTTTAACAAACCTGGGTCAAAATTTACAAATGCAGAGTTCTAGCAGACCTATAAACGCTCAAGTATATCACACGAAACCACTCTCGTCGTCCAATCATGTTTCTCAAAGGTACAGTAGCATGTTTAATGCTTGTTTTTATAACATACATAATCATTTAACTATATTGTTTAATAAAATACTCTTCATTTTATCAATATTATGTTATAGGCCTTTAAACTATTCAATACACCATCCTCCGGTTCTAGTGACTAGAAGCCAACCAGTCGGCGGAACCGGGATAATAAATCATCAGGTAATTGAATCTTATTTGACATTATATTATATTTATTATTTTTCCCAAGAACATGACCTGTATAATATATATATAAATATTTCAATGTACATATATTACATTATATACACGTATTTATTTCGAATTCATTTATGCTAATGAATCGATTTAACTTGAAACCGTATTTTCACGTTGATTTAATAGTACCTACTTTATTTCATCCGGGTTTTGGTGAGAATGAAACACGGAGTATCAAAATGAATCATTTAGAGTATTAATCAAGACTATGTTGTTGTGCGCGTTTAACGTCAGAATAATCGTTATGTAGAGGGATTAAGGCGTTTTACAACGATTAATAATATCGCCCTTATCGCAGTGGTTGTTATAGTCCGTCAATTCGAGTCTTAAAAAGAGCCTACAGGTTTTCCTTTCGTATAATAGTCTAATACAAGGTTTTGGTAATGTATATATAGGCGTACGAAATTCAAGACGAACTTAATTTAATATCCCGTAATTCAATTTCGAAGAATAATATATAATAACTTTAAGGCGTGGTTCACCACTGCTGTAATGTGATTTTCTATCATATGCTTTATTATTTTGCTACTAAAATAATAGTATCAATAAACCAATTTTTTCTTTAGAAACCGACAAGCAGTGTGTCGCCCATTTATCAAACGTCTTCGACCAAGGTACAGCCGGTGCAGCCTCAAGTATTAAATTCCATGGCAACGAACCAAGTGGTTTCTAAAGAATCAAAACAACCGATTAGGGTAGCGGTAGAGTCTGAACAACCGGTTGGTACGGACCGGGCTGGCAGCCCTCCGACCGTCGGAAAACCGGCGTTACCCCCCAAACCTCCTCCACCACTTGTCAAGACTTGTACGCCTCCACCGCCACCGAGGCAAAACGCTTACCATCACCACATATCTCAGTATCACCAACCAGACCCGTTGTCGGAAGACGGGGGTCTAGGAGGAGCTAGCAGTGGCCGCACGTACTATACCGACTCCAGACCAGCGCCACTTCAAAAAGACTTGACGCCTCCCCCGCCGCGGATACCCAACGGTGGCATTGCTGGAGCGTCAATCAAGCCTGGCTTTGGAAACGTGGTGGATTCGTCAGAGTCCGACAACTCGTCAAGTTCAGCATCCATGCGATCAACGTTCGGTAGCAATGTCAAGTGAGTGTTATAATGTTTACAACGTATAAAATATTATCAAAATTATTATTGCGACATGCAGTGTGAAAAATATTCTAGTTTAAGTGAAAATTATGAAAATTACTGTTCTTAATGTAGAAAAAGTTTATGTTATCTATGTGTATTTATAATATTATCACATAACGCGCGTGTCCTTATTTTTTTTCGGTATAAAGACTCAATTAAAATCAGCACTACCATTAAGAGCTCTTTATTTTAATGTAGAATATATATATATATATAGTTACTAGTTTAATTACTATTTATGTCATCCAGTAAAATTAAGGGAATATCAGCGATTATTTATTTTCTTTATTAAATTATGCATTGGTCAACATAGATAAAATATTTTTCATAATTTTTAAGTTACATTAGAGTAAAATCACTTATTACAAAAATTATAAAAGATAATATTTTTGAGAATTTGACATGTTAGTCTTATATTTTATTATTTGGCTTTATATTCGATTTTTTTTTTTTCTAGTAAATTTAAATAAATAATAAATTATTTTGAAACGATTTTTATTTTATACCCTCAAAAATATTATTTTCTATAATTTTTGTAATAAGTAATTTTAATCTAAGACAAATTAAAAAAAAATTGTATTGAGTTAATGCATTTTATCTATGTGTGCGTTTTTAGATGTATAATATCTATGATAATATAATTGGAATATTTGTTTCTTCACTGTCTAGAAGTGGTGAACATCTGTTGGATAGCGTGCGGTCTGTGAACATATCAACTACTAAAGGAACACCTCCCCCTCCACCTCCACCACCACCATTACAACCACAACAGTCGTCTATTACGGTAGCTGCGTCTCCAATCGAATCAAAGGATCAGCAACAACAGCAGCCACCATCCCACGAAGCAAAACTCTCCTCTAGACTGCCATCACTCTTGCTCAGCCGAACCACTTCTTATCCAGTGACAGATATCGTTGGGAGCGAGAGCAAAGTCAACAATAACCACCATCATCTTATCCATCATCACAATAACATTAACAATAACCATCAGACAGTGCAACACCGAATCTCCGTCGCACCACCTCAACAGCAGCAGCAGCAGCAGCAGCAACAACAACAACAACAACAACAACAACAACAACAACAACAACAACAACCAGCACAGATTCCGTCAGTTATTGGTACTTCCACCACTACCACCTCATCAACTGTCAGGCAACTAGATCCTCAGGCTGCAGCGACCGATGAAACGGACAGAGCACGAGCAGTTAGTGTCGCCCAGCGCATTGACGAACTGGAGACACGTTTTGGTGGTGGAGGCAACAACATAGGTGTTGTTGGATGTGGTGGGTCTTCGTCCACTGACGATACCAGTAATAGCAACCACAGTTCTTCATCGCCGGACTCTGGCCAAGACTCGGGCAGAGACGACATATCCGGTAAGAGTTCGTTAAAAAATTAAATGAAAAACAATAACTTTCTTACAAAAATGTCATTATATTTATCATTACTTTCTAACTTTAAAAGGAAGATTTTATTTTACGCACATTGATATATGTAGAAACAGGGTTTTGCAAAGATTTTATTAGGTTCATTAGATGTTTGTTATTAAATATTTCTCGTTATTAAAAAACATATTTAAAATGTATACGCTGTGTTTTATCCTTTTATAGTCAAGTATTGTCTATCAATAATGTTTTACAAATTTGAATAATATTCTTAAAAATATCCTATAAATTAAAATATTAAGTTCCAAAATAGAATTTCAAATTAAGTTTCTATTAAAATCTTTTCCGTTCGTATAAAATATTATTAGTCTAAATAATAACAATCGTAAACACCCAAGAGTTTGTTTAAATTTTTTATTTCGATGTTCAAACACTCAAATACATCCCACGTTAAATTGTACAAATACCTGGACTTCAATCAAGCAGCATCTATTTATATATGTTCATGTTTTCGGCAACTTAAGTTTGTAGTATCGAAATAATAGGTATAATAATATTATAAATGAGATTTTCACATTGTTGAAATATTATTTTGTTCGTGACGTTGACTTGTTAATGCGTATTGTTAATATTGTATGAAATTTACAATACTATACTGAATTGTATTCTTCCTAATTTACTTTTAATCTCTCGAGGCACTGTGCGTCAGTACGTTATCTTAAAGAATAAATTCTTCAAAATTGCATTATTTTCTTTATATTTTTTATTTTGTACTTAAAAGAATTATATCAGAAATTCTACTTTTAAAATGTCATCGACCACAAAACTACAGGATTCGAACGAATTATAAGTTTAAAAATAGTATGGGAATTCAATAAAAAATACTCGTTTTTTTTTTTTTTTGATAAAACACGTATCTTTGTAGGATATAAAATATAACGCACGACGAGTGTCTCGAAATATAATCTAATAATAATAAATAATTCAATCTATGAACAACAAATGCGAAGAAAAGGTAACGCTATATAACATTATTATCTAGGATGAAATTTGCTTTTGATCTGACTATTTACGGGCAACTGAGCTATAGAAGAAAATAATATGCTAATTCATGGTTCGATAATCCATGCCCGATTTATATATATATATATATATATATATATATATATTGTACAACATATAGACGTATAGCGTAGTAAGTATATTATAATGCTCGCGGGAGGTAAACTACAGATCGTTTAGGCTAATGGGTTTCTATGTCGAATTTACTCTTATACGTACGCCACAACGCCGGAACATAATATAACATTGCGCGTAAATTTGAATTTGATTTAAATATGTTTTATTTGTAGCTCCTATACTAAATCATTTACACTTTACGTACAACATTTTTGGAGATTGTATTATTTACTAATTAAATGCTTCAACAATGAATTAGTCAACATGTTTCTTTTTAAATTTTACGGAATACAATTTTGATTGAAAAAGAATATAATTATTTGATATTTTACCAAAAGTTTAAATACCACTATTGTTACTTGTTGTTTGTTAGTTTGATAAAAACGATCAACGAAACAACTATTCATAAATATTTTTCCCAAAATATTATGTGGTGAGTTCTTCGTTTTATTTATTTATTTTTTTTTTTGTCTCTTATTATGTTTCAAATCAGAAAAAATTCTAATCTTTATGAAAAATTGAATATTATCGGTTCTTTTAGATTAATACTGTAAAACTTTCATTAGTTTTCAAAATAACTGAGAAGATCTAATATAAAATTTATTTTGCTTTAATTCAAAAATAAGTTTTTTTTTTTCATAAAAGTTATTTAATTTTTCATAATATTTTCATATTATATGTTTCTAGATATAATATAATGTTTCAAATGTTTTTTTTATTTTTGAGGCATTTAATATAATAAATATATTTTTTTAATTATGTTGAAAAAATTATTTTTTCTCATTCTCTCATTCTGGAAAAATATGTAATACAAGATTTCTTATAAATTATTTATGTTGCAATTTAAAAATATTTAAAGTAAGCATATTATCTATATGAAAAATATGCTCACTTTTTTTAGATCTTTGTAGTTTAAAAATTTATGAAATTGAAAGTTTGAACAAAAAAAAAAATTAACTTCCACTAACAATTTAGTCGTATGGGGCTTAACGTTTTTCACTATTACGTATATTTTATTATGTTCCATACATACATGATATTATCAAATCATTTAGAAATTCTTTAAGCTTTTTGCATCACAATTATTTTATTCACTCATTATTCCAAAATATATTTATGTTTTTAAAAATATTTTTTTATCGTTAAAATTTATTAAGTTTTTTTTTTTCTAAATGACAACATACTCTTTTAATTTCATATTCTTAAGTAACATAATATTTCGAGCATTTTCATAGAAAAAAATTAAAATTCAGAGGAGTATTATATTGGTTATAAGTATTTAAAATTATTTTCAAAAATTTTAATACATTTTAAAATAATGAATGCTATTAATACATGTCAATATATGATATTGTCTATAAAAATGTGTTCAATACATCTTAGTACATATTGTAATTACATAATATAGTAATTTATAGTAATAAAAATAAATCATAAAATAGATTTAGTGATAAAAACTAAAACACCGTTTTCGTTCAAAATCATAATTTGTTGTTTTAAATTATATTTGCTGAATTCAAATTTTATAACTATAAAAATCCCCATACTAGTGACCTACTGCATTGCATTGTAATGACTAGTATAAGTGAAATCTAACACTGCATTTTGAAGGTTTTTTTTTGAATTAATTAATTGTATGCGATTTAAAACAATTATTTATTTATGGAGACTATGATTTATTTTTTAAAGAGAGAAAATTTAATTTATCGAGTTAAAGGTATAGACTATTTGCGCATAAAAATACGATTTTAGTTGCTTACATATAATATTGAAGAATTTAATATAATGTTCAATTATATAACTTTTAAGCAATTTTATTACAATATATAAAAAATAAATATTTTTCTTAGAAAAATTAGAATTATACGGATTTTACGTCAACTAACCGGTAAAATATATCATTGTAACAATATCCTAATTCCCAACACTCATTTGACGATATTATGACGACAAACCTTTTGAATATTACACAACGCCATTTTTAATGATATTAGACGATTTCGTTATTTTTATTTCCATTACTTTAAGTTGCATATGACTTTACTATAATATTTAATAGATACGCACCATAAAATAAAGTGTCTTATACTTATGTGTTTAAATCGAGAAACTTTGTTTGGATTTATCACGTTATGACGTATAATATAAAAGTGTGTAATGTGTACCTACCTATTAAATTATCTCTAAACCACACTGATACGGTTTAACATAGATTTATATGTAAATGTATACGAAAGTAAAACTACTAAAATAACTCACATTGCGAGCGTTTAGGTGTAACATTTCGCTTATTGCTGACGGTTGTGCACATATCAATATAATATTATTGTTTTCCAATTCACCTAAGGTTTGTTAGTTTAGTCATTCAACCTGCATATTATAACATTCAATTGAAAACTACTACGTATTATTATTATTGTTATTATTATTATTTTTTTTTTTTTTTGGTTGATTTCATGTGATAATATGTTAGGTAAGAAATAGAATACACCTTTTCGACTTTATCGGATAATACAAATTTTATAGTTTTGTTCAATACGATTTCATATGAATTTTAGCCTATATTTTCTATCGATGTTTAAAGACAAAAATGTTAGTATTAAGAAAGAAGCGAGTCTTTTTTATTAATATTTTATCACATACTATACTCGTATATATAGTATTATTATATACCTATAAATTAAATCACTTATTTTGTCGAGTATCCTCCGATTACGTATTTTTGTGGTTTATCGACTTACGAAATTATATTGAATTGTTGCGCATCCAGTAATATTGTGTATGTCTTTGCAGTAGAGTGCAGGAACAGGTTGATTGTACGGAAAAAAGGCAATCTCAAGGAGTCGGGCGGAAGTATCGGTCATAAGCGACGGGTATCATTCGACCCGCTTGCATTGCTGCTAGACGCCTCGTTGGAGGGTGAACTCGAGCTGGTTATGCGAACCGCTGAACAAGTGAGTGTACTGATTATTATAAATATTATTACTATTTAAATTACATACATGTCTCGACAGCAAAAGTTTTCTATATAGGTTTTTTTTTTATTTACGAGATATACCTAATCGTGTTTTGCCATCTGATGGTTAGGAGGTTGGTGTTCGGGAAATTGGGTATAAGCGGAGATATTAAGTTATTTCAAACTAATTTTCAATTATCGAATTCAGTGTAACGTGTATACTGAATATATATGCATTTAATAGGATTAGATAGGTATATATACAGAGTGTTTTATCAAATAACATTGATTCTTTAAAAATGTATTTAACGTTTTTGAAAATATATTTTTACATAACTTTCAGTCCAAATAAAATAATATTTTTATCGTTTTAGTTTTTTAATGTTTTACTTTCTTAAAAGACAATATATATTTTTAAGTAGAATATTTTTTTGGAGTTTGTTCATATATAAAAATCAAAATTCGAACGAGTAGTTTATGAGTTATAAGTATTTTAAGTTTAGGTGAACTGCGTAATACGATTAAACCTTACAAAACGTTGGTCTATTACTTCACTCACTTAAACTTTAAATACTTATAAGTTATAACTCATAAAATATTCGCCAGAATTTCGATTTTTAGGTATTCAAATATTTCAAAAAATATTCTGAATCAGAATGTGAAATTGATAAATTATTTTTGTCATTCAAAAAGTAAAAATTATAACGACAAAAATATTTAAATAAATAAACAGACTTATCAAATAATTTAAACTATGCGTACTGCTCATTCTGTGAATTGCTTTACGATATAGCTTTCACATCAACATTATATTACATATTTATTCGAAATTAACAGTTTTATCTAAATCAATGTATAAATTAAAAGTAAAACATAGTACTTAAAATAATATCCAAAAATGGTAGTTAGTATTGGGTGCAGTATATAATAATAATAGTCCCTTGTGTATATAAGTTGTAGTTTATTATGTGTAGAGTATCTTGTAACACAGACAGACATAATTCTGTTTGGTCTTTATATGGTTCTTAAAGAAATATAGGTAATATAATATAAAAAAGTTTTTTCGAAAGAAAATAGATTTTTTCAGAGCATTATGTAAAATAAAATATATTCAAAAATCTTAATACATTATGAAATAATATGTGTTGTTTGATGAAAGAATTACTTAGTTTATTATATACGTATAATTATATGTATATGTATAATATGTATATATATATATATTTATGAAATCAATAATATATTTTGAATTTCTTTCTGAAAAACTTCTAAAACGTTTAACTGTGTAAATTGTTTATTAATATCATTGTATTATTATTTATTTTAGGTGGGAGATCCCAGCGCAGCCAATGATGAAGGAATAACTGCGCTACACAATGCCATATGCGCCGGCCATATAGACATTGTTAAGTTTTTAGTTAAGTTTGGTTGTGATGTAAACGCCCAAGATTCCGACGGATGGTGAGTATATAAAATCAATAGCATAATGTAAATATAGTCTGTTATGTTTGGATTTTAAGGGTTGTATAGTATTTATTATTTTATTAACCTTTATTTAAAAAAAAAAAAAAAAAAATGTTATTTATATAATATACTGAAAATTTAAAGGTTTGTAACATATGTTATATTTAAAAATTATATGCAAATCTACAGAAGGTTATTTAAAATATAAACTATACAGAAAAGTTTTTAATATTATTTAAGATAATTACAAATAACAACATTAAAATACACTTAACCTGACTTTTTTAAGTTTTGAATAAAATTTATAACTTTTAAGACTAAACTATATAAATTTTATATCTATTTAGAATACAATGATAATCTTAGATTTAAAATGATTTAGATCATATTTATTATCGAAATTAGACTATTGCAAAATCAATACAGATATAGTTATAAAATTGTTATATTCATATTTATAGTGATATTGAATGTTTTAAATTATATTTGATTAATTTTAATTTATTTTGAATTTTCCTCTTATTAAATACAATTTCTATCTAAGTATAATCTATAAAAGTATAAGACGTTGTAACGTTAAAATTCCGACAGTCGAAATATTGAAACTTATAAAATATTGAGATAATTATAATTTTTTCAATAAAAATATAAAAATTATACTTTAAGAATTTTAATTTTCTTATAGTAAAACATACATGTTTTTAATTAAATAATATTATAATATGTAAAGATAAAATGAAATAATGCATAAGTAGGTGGTAAATAATTTATAATCTTAATGATAATAATTTTGATTATTTTATTATAGTGTTTAAAACGAAAATAAATTATTTGTTCTTATAAATATTTTTGATTTTTAATTTTATTAGACAATTATGTTTATTACAAAAAAATGGTTACAATACATTTTTTTAATGTTTACTATGGTAATAATAAACTTTGATTTGTTAATATTTTGTTATTTTTCCATATTTTAATCTGTTGAAAAAACCATTGACGTTTCGACCGACTTCTCTAATTATCACATGTTTTATATTCTACATATAAAGTACCCATATTATTGCAAACATTTTTCATGGTTTTTGAATTCTAAATTTTATTTCTCTGATAAAAAATGTATAAATATACTCTATTCGAGGGTCGTATAATGACAAGTCATTCCACTGGATGACACATTTTCATTTTTATTTAGTAATAAATAGTAACCTTCTTTTATTAATGTTATCACTATTAATACCATGTGTCACGAAATGTATGTGTAATTTATTTGAATTAAATTTTTTTCTTATAAACTGATTTGTCACTTCCCTAAATTTGACAAATTGTATGTATAATTTAGAGCAATAAATGATTACCGAATATTAATTAATTTATAGCTTGTAAAAGTACTTAATGCTCAGCAGCTACTTAATAAAACGTCTGAAACCACCGCAATTAAAACTAGCGGAGTTCTATAAATGTATGAGCCAGATAAAATACTAAAAAATAATTTTCAAAAAAATTAAAATGATGTTAAAAAAAAAATGAATAATAAATAAACGAAAAATGTGAAATAACGTTTGAAAATAAAGGGTATGGCTAATCGCCTTTCTTAGTTTCAGTAGGACATTTTATAGTTATTAGGGGTCGTAGAATGGTTGTGATTATGTTTGTTTCACATGTCTGTAGCTGTCCACCTGAGCATGTTTGTACTCAGCTTCTCAAATTTTATACCAAACGGTTTTCATTATAGTTACATAAAATCTAAGGTTTATAAATATCGTTTAAGGTCCCTTAAATATTTAAATGAATCAATTTATAAAGAAATTCGCAAATAGCCCAATAAATGTTCAAAAAAGTTAAAATAAAATCTTATAATTAAAGTGTATAAATGAAATTGATGTTTTTTTTCGTAGCAATATATTTTTTTTTTAATTTAAAGTCTGTTTATAAGATTTATACGCTCAGTGCAAATATTATTATTATATTTTGTACTTATTGAATGATCTGATGACGAATTGTCGTTCATATTTGCATTGTTAAAGTAATTTATATTTAATTTACATACTCATGCTTTTTATCTATAATAAATTATAATAATTGACTTGGCTGTTAATGAAAAATCGAGTTTACAAAAATTGAAATATTCCCACCCGTAGATATTATATAATTAATAAATCTAAAACAATATTTTGCAGCGCGCATAGTAATCTTTCTACTTAATCATTTTTAATTAGTCTGTGTCCATTAGTACGATGAAAAAATAATTTTTCTTCTAGTTGCTCCGCAAATACAAATTGATATTTCTACCGCCATTCATATCATATAACATAGTATATTAAGTATTAGTAGTAATTAAATGATTAAATTACGTGCTAAACCTATGTATTATTGGATTACTATTATATTATTGTACCGAGTGAACATTTGTTAGATTACAGTTATATAACACTTATAAATATATATATATATATATATATAAACACGGGGTTATATTAAATCTATTAACGAACACAATAAGCTGTGAATATATATTTTATAATTAAGTTATTAAAACTCGTCATGCAATTCTTTTCATCGAACCCTTAAAAATCGATAAGTCTCGCAAGTCTGTTTAGTATATAGTCACTAGTCACTACGTAAGCATATATAAAACTCAGTCGTCGTCTACAAGTGTATATATATATATATATATATGTGTGTGTGTGTGTGTGTGTATTCAGTGAGAATTTTATTGCGAAATTGAATTTCTTATTTATAACGTAAAAAATAATCCAACTCAGTACAAAACAATATTTTATAAACTTGAAAGTTATGATATGCAATCATGCTATAAATCATAATTATATACTTTATTTTATGATGTCTATTTTCACGCTTGCTGGTTATTATAATATCATACTTTACATACTGAAATCTCAATATTTTAGTATGCAATTAAAATATAATTAAATGTGTGGCGTTGGCTAGTTAAGGTGAGCGTCGTCTTTCAGTGACCTGTCTTCGTATACTCACAAGTCACAGTTATTATTACTATATAACCCTCTACGGGCGTGATTCTTTTAAAACACGATTATATAATATCTAATAAGAAAGACCATATTAACTATAATTTACGATTGCTTATTTTTTTTTGGATGCCCATAGGACGCCATTACACTGTGCCGCCAGCTGTAACAACCTCGCCATGGTCCGATTTCTAGTGGAGCACGGGGCGTGCATATTTGCCACCACGTTGTCAGACCAGGAGACAGCCGCCGAAAAATGCGAGGAGGACGAAGAGGGTTTTGACGGGTGTTCAGAGTTTCTTTATAGTGAGTTAAATAATGCTTTTGTTTTTATTTTTAATTATTTGCCTTTATTGTAAACTCTTATCATCAACATCACAATTTACGACGCATTCTGCGTACGCCACCAAATTTGAAACTAACAGAATATTTTTATCCGAGTATAAAATGTTTGAAATCTAATTTATTTACTATGTTATACTTATATATGTACAAAATGATATATAACATAATTCTCGTAACAAAAAACAACATAATAATATAGTTATATAAATATAAATATTCATAAAACATTTACTAAAATATTAATCGTACTAAATTCTGAAACGCTATGTTATGTTTAAAGGTGTCCAAGAAAAGTTAGGCATAATGAACAACGGTGTAGTGTATGCAGTTTTCGGGTATGAGGCGCACAACCAGGATGAGTTAACTTTCGATGATGGCGACCGGATTGTCGTACTACGGAAAGGCGACGACACGGAAAGAGAATGGTGGTGGTCGAGGATTGACGACCGCGAAGGATACGTGCCACGAAATTTACTTGGGGTGAGTTTTCTTCTTTTTTATCAGCTCACACTAAAATTTATAGGTTACTAAAAAATTATTCATTATAGTTAATGTATATACTATATATTTAATTTATTTGTGCTTATGTTTTGAATAAGCTCCAGTAAAATCATCTATTGTAAAAATCATTGATAAAATAATTTATAACTTATCAATTTATCCAAATATTATCTCAAAATATAATTGAATATTTATTTCAATTTTCAATTTTAATATAAAATCGAGTAGGTACATATATATATAAAAAAAAAACAAACTTTTTAAATTTAAATCTTAATCAAAGCTGTATTAAATTATCAAGTGGTAATGTGGCCTATGATGAGTTTATGGAAACACGCTTTGTAATCTCTCAGGTTCCATACAATTGCCGCGTTGATATTATAATATTTTAGTCGGTTAATTGATTTTAATTGAAAAATTTCATTAATTCTTATTGCACGTGACATTTTCATCGTTCGACACTATTATTATATTAAACAAACATATATATTATATATTAAATTTCAAAGTTTCCCAGAAAAACATTTTACATGAATGAATATAACTTATACGATCGTTTCCATAAATGAGCTTTGATATATTATTATAAATATATTTAACATCATTATACTTTTATACCTGTCAAACATGATGGTAGTACACAACTGTGTTTTATTTTGAATTCAAAAGCAATTATATTAAATTAATAAACGCATAATATAATACTGTCAATAATGTTCTATTGGGCCAAAGTATTATCATGGTTTTGTTAGGAATACATTAAAAAAAAAAAAAAAAAAAATTATGTTTTTCTAATAAAAATATGTTTGGCTTAGAACGCGTTAATTTATTTTATTTTTGCTGTTTCAAAATAGTTATTGAAAAAAAAAATTATCTCTCATCACTGCAACACGTACATGTCTCCATTTGACGATTATTTACTTAGGATTTAAAAGGGTCATGTCAGAACTAATAGATTTCTAAGTTTCAGATTTCTTGTTAATTGAGTTGTATTATTGGATTTTTTCTTCATATTAATAGATTCTTCGGTGAAAAAAAAAATGATGTATAAATCCCCGTAACAAAAGATCTCAAATTAAACAGTTTAATGAAAATGTATATAAACGTAATTTTTCTAACTTTTCATTAAAATTTTTGGGGGAATAAAAAAATTAACAAAAAAATTGCTTACGTTCTCTAGTTTACTCGTATTATTTACGCATATATCAATTAATATAGGTATATATGTTACGGTAAATGATGTTATATCAGAAATTAACATTATTCGCCGGTTATTAACGTTATTTACCTACGAATGTGGGAATTATCGTTATTTTCTAGTGAATAACGTTAATAACCGTATGATTTGGGAAATTTTGATCTGATTATAAAATAAAAGAGGTTATTGCGGAAGATTTAAAAAAATAACCAAAGAACCAATCATCAAAGAAGACAAAATCGGAAATTAAATCATAAAAATCGCAGAAAAAAATTCGGAACTTGGTACTTAAATATTTTTTAATTATTTAACGATAAATTTCCGAATTTTAAATATAACAAAAATAAAACTAAAATATAAATATTTGAAAATTATTTTAAATATTTTTTTGATGATTGTCAAGAAAATATTTGTATTGTATGTAAAAATTCAAAAAAAAATTTAGAAAAACAAGGAGAGGAAATGATGAAATTTTCTAAAGAAAAGTTTCCTCAGCTTGAAATAGGCTTAACTGTATGTGTATTTATACCAAACGTTGATAGAGCTCGTGGTTCTATGCAAAATATACTATCAGTTGTCACTCAAGTTGAACATGATTTATACAAACTCTGTAAGTTAATTCTTAATGAAAAAATATACTATTAAAATTAAAATTTGTTTTATTATTTTATAAGTACGGAATATAGTTTTCTTAAATATTATTTCACATGCCAAAAATAGCTGTTTGCAAATAAAATCTATTAGACATGGACAATGTGATAAAATTAGCATATGGTAGACAGTTGACACTGAGGGAAGTAGCTAGTAATAATTCGGTTGCGAGCCCTCGAAGGTACCAGCGTTGTCATTGCAAGACTAGTTGTAATAATAATAAGCATTGTGCCTACCTTGGGGCTGAAAAATTATGTTATATTAAATGTCATGGGAGTAAAACTTGTAAAAATAAATAAAAAATAATAATGCATTTATTCTATTTTTAAAAATATCTGGGTACTTACATAATTTTTCAAATTGTAGTATTTGAGATTCATGCGCTTATCTGATTTATAACATCAATTACCTGTGTATTTGGTCATTAACGTGATTATCCAGTTTATAACGATAATTACCTGTATATTTGGTAAATAACGTTAATAACCGGTGAATAACGTTAATTTCCATTTAACATCATTTACCGTAACATATACAATATCACATATTTTAAGTTATTATTATATTATAAAATAAGCTTCTGGTTAATAACGTAATACGAAATGGACTCCACTAATATAGTCTGCAACGAACGTTTCTTTTGCACCACTGAACTCCCATCCACACGTTTAATAATAACCGTGTACATGCAACTGGATATAGTAAGTTAATTCGTGCGTGCACGTCATATGTATATGCGTGTATGTGCCAGTGTGGTTGCTCCAGAGTTAGATCTTATGTTTTAGTGGGTATAGGGCAAAGGTTTGCACAAAACTTTATTACATGTTATCTTATATACCTAGAATTTATCACTAGTGCGCGTGCATTGTGAAGAAGTTCGCTCTCCTTATCCAATTTTATGATAAACATAATCGTTTACATAATATTATTAAGTTTTTTATGAATCCCTATTCAATACTCACTAATATTTTCAAATCTATATTATAAAATATTATTAAGTGACTACAAGCAATGCTATGCAAATCATGATTGGATGTTTACCAGGAGACGGAAATGCCCCAGTTTTACTCCCCCCAATATTAATTTTAAAGTGACGTGTGCGTATATATTGTGTGTGTACGAAATTGAATTTAAAGCATTTCACTGGCAACTGACGTGATTGCTATTTTACGCGCCGAAACTGTTTATTAAATGGTGTAATAGAACGGGCGTTTGTTGTCCTTTTGTTTTTCAGCTTTACCCGAGAGTGATCGGTGGCAAAAAATCGGTGACCGAATGACAATCCGCTTTAGTGGCAACGGCGATATCACCCGTCAAGAAGCTGATCGATTCTTGGGTCCCCCCAAAATCATATCATACAACGATATCATTCTTATTGTGTTAGACTTTCTCATATCTATAACGTTATTATATATATTATATATATTATTATTATTATTATTATTATTATGATTATTTTATATTTTTTTAACAATTTTATTTGGAATTATTGTTTTTTTTTTTTTTTTTAATTACAGAAAACACACTTCATTTATTTATTTATTATTTCTATAATTATCATTATTAATATTATTTTGTTGTAATTTAAGACCAAAGTTTATTTATGCGTTTTGACCATGACAAATTTTATGAAAGCATTATCGCGGTGTATATATCGTATAGTAATTTTATAATAATTTAGTTGACAAAAAAAAAAAAAAAACTTTAAATTTGTAATCCATATACATATTCTTATTCGATCATTGAAAAGTTCACGCACTCAAGTACGTGACATATATATATATATATATATATATTATATTATGTAATTTTGTATTTACGTTGAACGTGCATAAATTGTTTTTGAATGTTTTTTTTTTTTATTTATTTATTTTATGTTTTCCTAAGTGTTTTCACGTTTATATGAGTACATTAAACTAAACATCATCATATTTGTATCATATATTATAGTATTTTGACTAAAAATTTTTTTTCTAAGTATTGTGATGTATAAAAATAGTATAAAACGTATTTCTTTTCTTTGTTGTTTATCCAATATTATTGTTATTGAAATAAATTTTTATTATTATACGATCGAGTTACAGTACCTATACGAGTATCACAACGAGTATAATATCAAGTAGTCGCGTATCAATAATAACAATACACTATTATTACTATGTGCGTTGCTATTATAACTAACAAATTACTAAAGAATGCGTATTTACGATACATTCTACGAAATAATTTATTTCATCCCGGTTATCGTGCATATTTCTTTAAATATTTATTATTTCCCGGAGAAAGTATAATGTGATATGTATATAAGAAATATATTCGTGTTTTGGCGTCAATAGAGAAGATTGTGTTCGGGACCACTCAAGCGCAACGTACTCGAAAATTGAACGGAGTTGAGGAAAATAATAATAGCGATAAAAATAGACGAATTTAAACTCGCCATTTTTATCGAAATAAAACCTTTGAACCCTCGGCGACGTGAACAATTTTGAATGGTACTTTTTATACATTTTTGAGGTTCGCAAAGTCGTACGGAGTCTGAAAACATAAAATAACAACACGGATTGGATTAATTAGGAAGAAAATAATTTTACTCACGAAATGTTCAACGTCCGCCGTGGTAACATACTAATTTATTATTATTACCACGAAACAAGTAGGTATATTAAACATTTGTGCGTATGTGTATGTATATACACACAAGTTATTCGGAATTCTACGTTACTAAATATGTGTGGATTGCAAACGATTTTAATGTTATGTCGAACTCGATAATTTTATAATATGCGAAAATCTGACGATCCTGCATACAATAATGAGAATATAAACCTTAACCCAATATAATGTACGTATCACTATACTCTCATCACTGATGACGATGACGACGACGGGGCGAGTACGTTGTGCGTATAAAAGATCATACGGCATCCGCCGGTGAAACAATATTGATAATAAAAGCGCACTGCTGCATTATGATGGTAGTGACGATGTCGGTGATGGGTGTATGAGAAAAAAATTATCCCTATTAATTACTTTGGCGTAGGCTGAGTGCGATTCCGTGTCGACATCATTAACATTATATAGTATTATTATATTATATCGGGTAATATTTTTATGTGTTTCATATATCGGGATAAAACGGGCCGTTGCCCTCATGAAGTGAACGACGCAATATAATGTTAATCTGACATGGTTAGGTTAAGCGCCGTAGCTTGTATTGAAATTTGTGTATATATTGCAATCCATTATATATACCAACATAATAATAATATACTTTATTGCCTAGTATCAACTACGCGGGGTGATCTATAATGGTCTGTATTTAAACCGGCGCCGCAAAGGAAACGTAATTAATTTATCGAGTGAATTTCCATATGGCCGAGTGTTTGAAAATGAAAATCGACACAATATTATGATAAATAATTATTACAATAATTATAGTAATCGTCTTAATCGTCACGTTGTATTTTGTGCGACCCACTCAAACCGTTTACAGAACAATTTTTCACCGAGGACATTGCACGAAAACGGAATCCCATTTCCTAAAACAACAAAGCTATATAGAAAATGGGTTGGGGATTTGACATCCGTTTCCATGGGACGCACAGATATTTCCGGCGGTTGACAACGGAGCCAAAAACCATTAAATTAAACTTCCCCTTTAAGGGTGCCTATATTAGTATTATGTCGGCGAGTTTTTAATTTATCACGAAACTGATTTCACAATCACTCGTTTTAAGAGATAAGTTTAAAGTTGAACGGCTTAATCAAGTTTTGATGTTCAGAGATGTTGAAAATGTATTAATGAAAAATTCTAGTGACAATTTGCATATCGAAATAGGTATATTTATATAGCATCTCGAATAGTGATTATTATGTTATTCACATTATGCATTAGAAGAAAAAAAAACGTGTCATGGTGAGATAGTCACTTAAGATACAAGGTATGTGTATATATTAAATACCTGTTCATATAATAGGTCGAGTGCAGAAAATCGATAAATAGGTTTTCAACTTGACTTGACTTGCCGCGTAGTTCATTAGTAGTTCGGTTGTTTAAAAATAGTTCATGTAATACATATACGTATTCGCATATAACTACTATACTCGAGTGCTGATGTTTCCTTCACCTGCTTGATGTATATAGTTCATAACTAATAAAAATACACATCTTGAGTATAATATTATATATTTTTATATGCTTATACATAAATCTTTCAAATTTTAAGTATTGCAAATATTAGAATTTTTTAAAAATTAAAAGTCTGAGATTTTGAAATTTTTTTCTAAACAAATAATATGATGTCTTATTTTAAAATTTTACTCATTTTACTTATTGAAAACGAAAAAAACGACGGCGATTCGATGTAGTTGTCACTTAACTGCAATACTACATATTATACAATATATTATACTTCATTCCAAAAGAAAACACACCGGTTTTACACACTTTTTTCTTTACTGCTTATGCCGTTATTTAGAATATGCATGCCGCCTGACGGAAATCGATTGCCTCCTAGAATGGTGTATACGTAAGTAGGTGTATTGTATTTACTATTATTATAATAATTTTTTTTTTTTTTTTGTAAGAGTCACGTGTAAGACTAAATTAAGATGACGATGAAAAAATGTATGGTGGTCAATTATTTATAATTGTTTATACGTGTTTGTTATATATTTATAGGTACGTGGTGGGATGTTGTACGAGTTAGGGAGTTGGTTGTTAAGAGCATAACGCTATCTATACATAATACCCTTTAGTTTTAATTTTTAATTCATTAAGTATTCATTTTTTTTTTTTTTTATTTCACTTACAAACCATTATCAAGTTTTAATTTTATTTTCGATTTTAAATTTCATAATCTTAATGCTTAACTCTTAAACCTTTGATATGCTCTAAGCAAGCTGTAGCTAGAATAAACATTGATGTGGGTCTACCTCGTTTGCACTCCGAAATAAATTCGAAATCAGTGATAATATTGATTTTAACTACTATACAGATGCTACTCTTTAAAACACAAAATCTACTATATGCGAATGTTTTTCAGGATTACTTATAGAGGAAATCTCTAACACGTATATATATATATATATAGATGCCTAGTCATTTAGTAAATGCAATATATTTGTTAGAAGTTAAAATCAATGATAAGTTGTTGTTAACCTCTAAAAACAATTCTGAGTGAAAGATACTGGTGAACTAAACTAGCTTTTAAGCTTAATTTTAGAGTAAATTTGTCGAAACGTTATTCTGACGGATAAGAGGCAAAAAGTTATATATCTAACTTTTCTCAAAATCGTTATATAAGTATATTGGGTTAATCTGAGTCGTCTTTTTGATTCGACTAAACATTTTAAGTTAATATTGTAATTAAAACATGTTTTATTTGTACTTAAATTTTTGTGATATTAGCACAAGTTAGGTTTTTTTGAGTGCACACAAATAACAAATCCTAAATTATTGAGACATACACTAAATATTTTATTATCTATTACAAAATAGTAATAATGGTAGAAAGTTACAATATATGATGATTAATTTTTTTGTTTTTTTTTTTAATTACAACGAAATAACTTAAATTCTTTGAAGAAAAAACGATATTCATGGTTAAAATATATTATTTAGTCGTAATTTGATCTTAATACACTTATATATATATATATAAAAAAAAAAATCATGAATATATATTAATATTTATAAACTTCAGTGAACTATTTACAAAACGGAACTTTATGTTAAATTATTAAATTCTTTTACTGGGTAACAAAATTGTTAGTACTAACACAAATTGAAAAAAAAATATGTGAAACATAAGAAACATTTATCATGTCTAAAAAATAATTATTTAAATAGTCGATAAAAAATTATAAATCTCTATGATTGATTATATATTTTATTTCTGAATTACCCGAAATAAAAGTAGGTATTGATTTTGTCAAAAACAAGTGTTGTGTAAATATTTCCATTTTCTCGCTATTTTCAGTTAGATAATTAAATTTACATCATATTTCTTCTTTAATGTTTGGTATTATTCATCTTAAGTTATAAGTTTTGAAGTATTCTTAATTTATTCTACTAATTCGTTGATTCAGAAGTCTTCTGATTATATTTGTATTACATTCTTTCCATTCTAATTGTTCTAACTTTAATTTTGTTTTTTCATATTTTTATCATTATTTTCATAATTTTGTTTACTTTTTCAGATTTAATGTACTTAAATTTAAGTATCAATAATTCAAACTTTAAACCAATTTAAAAAATTTCGTATAAATTATTAATTACTACATATTTATTTAACCAGAAAAACTTGTACGTAATTGAAATTTATTTAGTTTTTTTTTTCTTAAATTTTAACATAAGACTTACAACCTGGTAATTTAAAAATTTTTAATTTAAAGTTTTACTATTTATCTTGAAAAGTTATACAACTG